TGAAATCTACGAGAGAATCATTAGAAAATGTGTTATGAATAATGATGCAAGAGCTAAAATAGCTTTGGAGGAAATGTGTAAATTTGGCTATAGGCCTACAACGGATATTACCGATTCTGTAAAATTTGGTGTTTTGGTGGATAGAAGTCTTAAAAAATTACTAACTACTACTCCAAAAGATAATAATAATCTTCAAATCAATCTATATCACATTTAATACAAACAGCAAATTCATCATCGTCATCACATTCTACAAATAGTAGTAATAATAATAATAGTAGCAGTAATAATAATAATATACAATCACAACAACAACCACCAATTTCATCATCATCATCATCATCATCATCATCTACAACATCTACTATAACACCTCCGCAATCATTATCATCTACATCAATCCAAGAAAGTAAACTAAAACGAACCAGTCCTTTAGATGTACAACCACCAAATTCTAAAACAAATAAAAAAATCGAACCCAACTCCACCAATAACACTACCACTAATAATATTATAAATTTACTAAATACATCCATCAAAAAGAACGAATCGTCAGATCATAATAATAATGAAAATCTTCAACTACTATCACAACCACCGCAGCAACTGATTCAACAAATTCAGTCAAATCAATCCAACCATTCGAATAAATCTAATCAACAAACTCAACAAACTCAACAAACTCAACCATCTACTCAATCAAACCAACAAATACCACAATCAATATCATCATCATCGTCATCATCGTTTCAACAACAAAAACAAAAACAAAAAAGTATAGATTCTGCTAATGAAGATAAAGAACAATCAAAAAATGAAGCCAAAGCAACCGTCAGAGACTCTTCTCAATCAATCGAAAATTCCATAAAACAACAAAAGATTAAACAAAAACCAGATTTAGTTGCTCAATTAGACAAGACATTATCTGCCCTTAGTGGTGGTTCATTTTCATTTAACGCGCCATTATTAGAATCCGATCCTCTAATAGATGATAAGCTTAGTGATAGTATTTCTTCAATTGTCACAGATAGTAACGGTATAATTAATGGAACACATATTGTTGCACCTCCACCTGGTGTCGGTTTCCCCAGAACAGATATCGTTTCGCCAACTTTTACTCCTACGTCCGATCTCCATCAACAGCCACAAATTCATTACACCGGCTCATTCAATCCGTTTGCAGCCGATGATGATAAATTCGATGTGTTCATTCCTGAAAGTAGTTCATCATCATCACCATTGACTGCTCTTGGCTTACCATCAATTGGTGGTACTGGTGGCGGTAGTGTATCATCAACAAATTCCTACTCAACTGATCCAAGACTTATTTCACATCAAATTAATAGTAATAATGTTTCTTCGAGGCCTAGACATACGTCGCGTTTTGGTTTTGCACAAGAGGACAATGACGGTTCTAATTTGGATCCTTTATCAATGAAAGATTTACAAGAGGATTTAAGAGCCATTTTTCCTAATGCTAAAGTAAGTTATGGACCTAGTGAGATTCATCAGGAATCCATGTGGAGTTTGGCAAATGAATCTGGTGCTTTCGGAGGATTGCCAATCAGGCGTAGCTTAATTCCAACAGCACCATCATCATCTGTAGCTTCGATAAACAATGCATTAAATCAAACTCAAAATCTTCATGGTGACAATACAAATAACGGTTTAGATCTCTCTTATCATCAAAATATATTGATGCAGCAACCACCACATCATCATCATCAACAGCACCAACACCAACAACCACAACCACAACAACATCATCAACATATTAATGTTAGTGTTGGTAATCCAGTAGCTCCAAGTATTAAAGCACCGCCTCCAGGTATATATACACCAACACCTCGTATGGATTATGGTGTTGGAGCAACAGGTGGTGGATGGAACCCACATAATACTACACCATGGAATTTTGAAGAAGATTATAATATACGACCAATTTCACTTCAAAATCCAAACTTTTTACAAGGAGCTGCCACTACTGCAACAGTCAGACCTGCTAGAGATGATACACAAGATTTTTTTGGAGCATTTTTAAAAGCTGCAGTTGGAAACACAAACACACATGAAGATATTCATAATGAGGGTTTGTAATTGATCGATCGATTGATTTTCAATCAGTGACAATGATTTAATCAAATTTTTCTTATGATATTAATGATGATAATAACAATCATAATAATTTTATTAAACAATTAAATATAAATAAATGGATATTAATAAATAAATATAGCTGAACCTGTTCCTAATATCCTTCAAGATCCTGCAATTATGACAGTTCGTTTTTCACAACCTGGCGAAAATCCATATAGAGCACCAGGAGCACCAGGAGCACCACCTATGATTCCCCAACAACAATATCAGCCAATGCAAAATGTTGGAGCTCATCGATTAAGTGTGTTTGAACGGGTGGCAAGGACAGGAGAAGATCAGATTGGTAATGGTTACGGTGTAGGAATTGGATTGGGTAATGTGGATGTGTAGGTGGATGTGTAGATATGTGTGAAGGTTGTGAATTTGAATGAGAGGATGGATGTATTGTTGAAGTCGATGAGGGTGCTGAATCAGGTTTTTTATGAGTTGGAAAAATGATTGTTGATGGTGTTGGTGTAGGAGTTGGACCAGATGAAGGCGGCTTTCCTAATTGATTTGGCTTGTGTGATTCTGTCGCTGCTGAATGTTCTCTGAGACTATATCTACTATGTATAAATGTATTTAACAATTTTAATTGAATCCAGCACATGAATTTATCACATATAAACCCTCATGAAATTTACAACTTACGCCGAAGCTAAATCCTCTTTTGTGTAACTATCAGCTTCTTCGCCAGGTTCATGCAGATACATACAATTCGGATTCTGACATACCATGTTTCGTAGATAATATGTACAATACTTTGTCGTGCCATAATTTGCCCTATAAAAATTTTTTTAATAAATAATAATTTAACAAATTTATTTCCAGATGAATAATAATAAAGTAATAAATTATATAGATACAAATATATAAATAAAAGAATTTACCTAAGTATTTTACCATCAGATACACTTCCATCAACAGCAGCTATAGCCTTTGCAGCATCTTCTTTCTTTACATAAGTGATGTATACACCAACACTTGGTTGAGGTGGAGGAGCACCGGGAACATTGGAAGGTGGGGGGTTTCGACGATTCACCACAATTTTAGCAATTTTACCATATTGTCCAAAATAATCATGCGATCGTAATATCTTTAATTATGATTATTCAAGATCATAAACATTATTTACTTGTAAATAATGATAATGATAATTAAATGGATAATAAATAATATTTTTGGATGTTGAATTTTATTAATAATAATAATAATCATCATCATCATTATCATCGCTTACCTCTTCGTTAGCAATCTTCGGACTTATACCAATAACATAAACTAAATTCTTTTGAACAACTCTCATATTGGCTAGATGTTTTCTGTTCATTGCCTCAAGTTCTTTCTTCTCGCGTTCTTTTTGCTTCTTTTCGTTTTTTATTCTTGCCATCCTAAATAACATATAATATAAATGTATAATATAGATAATGGTGTATTGATATATATATATATATATATATATATATTAGTTATATATTTTCACTTTCTTTATTAAATTCTAAATATTATTAACATTAATTAAACTGTTACGAATGCAAGAAAACAATTAAAAAATCTTACTCTTCAGGCGATATAGGTGTAAATTCAATTGTTTGTTCAGAATATACTCTACGACATGCTGGACATAACCCATTTAATATCTCTTTAATGTGATGCCAACAAAATCTACAGATCTTTATTTGTTTTAAAAGATTACGATCAATAAATAATAAAATTAATAAACATATATCCAAAATTACACCATGATAAATTTATTTAAACTAAAACTATTTTATTCAATTGATTGATTTATAATTATAACCACGATAGAAGTAATTCCAATAATTCTTAAATAACTTACTTGATATCCACAAGGACATGGTCTGAAATTTCTGTCCGATATATCCATTTCCTCCATACAAAGTGGACAAACATACTCTTCCTCATCGAAATAACATTCAGTTTTAGACATTTTTGTTAGTAATAATGGCTGTAAAAGGTTAGTTGATTTAATGTTTCAAGTAATAGTGGAGAATTCAGTCAAACGCGAACTATAAAAGAAAAAGATTTTTCGTATAAAAAAAAAGATAAAAAATTTTATAATTAGTAGTGGTGGCTTATCACATTAATTATATAATAATTAAAACTGAACGCGTTGGAGCAG